ATATCACTCCTCTCACTTCTTTCTGAAGGGGACAGTACTAGAAATTGAATCCAGGGCCTCACATGTACCAGGCAACCACTCTACCATTGATTTACACTCTCAGCTCCTTTTTAAAATTTTTATTTTAAAACAGGATCTCACTATGTTACCCAGGCTGGCTTCCAACTTGATTCTCCTGGCTCTGCCTCTGAGTAGGCAAGATTACAGGCATGCAGCACCATGCCCAGCTCTCTCCCTCTTTTTTTTTTTCTCTCCCTCTTTCTTGTTGAAACTTCCCATGCTGGTAGCCCAGTGCAGTGGCACATGCTTGTGGTCCTAGCTGCAAAGGAAAATCAGTCAGGAGGATCAAAAGTTTGAGGCCAGCCTGGACAATTTACCAAGATCCATTCTAAAACCTAAACATTTTAAAAAAGAGCTGAGGATGTGGCCCAGTGGTAGAGCACTTGCCCAGTACATGGGAGGCTCTGGGTTCAATACCTGTCCAGAGGGAAGACTTCCCCAGCTGCTTACCAGTTTCTGTTGGACTGGAGGAGGAGCAGGAATCTCCCTGTCCAGGTAGAGGGAGTGAATCTAGGAATTGCTGTTGTCTCATTTTCAAACAACATCCCCATTTCCAGCCTGACCATTCACCTATGTATTTGAATATGTCTGGTAGTGCCAAGCCTTTGGAAAGACCTTTGGTGAGAACTAGCTCAGCACCCCACCTCCCACCTTCTGATTTCTTAATCTACTAAAGTCCTGCTCATCTAAGAAAAGTAACAGCTTTGCTGCTTCTAATCTCCCCTAGTTTGTCTGTTCCTTCATAACCGCCACCCCCCCCCCCCCCCGCCCCGTTGTTACTAAGGATTGAACTCAGGACCTTCACATTTAGCTATATCCCCAGTCCCTTTTCTGTTTATTTGTTTGTTTGTTTTGTTTTGGGGGGGACAGGCTCTCACTAAGTTACTAAGTTGGCCAGGCTGGGCTTGGACTTGCAATCTTCCTGTCTCAGCCTGCCAGAATGCCAGGAATATAGGTGTGCACCACCATACCTACCTCCAAGTGATTCTCTTGGAGAACTCTTGCCTCCATCACTTGTCTTTAGAGAAAGTTATCATCTTCTCTACCAAAATGGGAAGCAAGGGCAAAGGCTCTTATCACAAACACTGGAGACATCCTACTCCCTTTTCCCCTCCTTATTAAGACCTTGTGGTGTGGAGGGAACTGGGGATGATGAAGGAGTCATGATTGGAGAGGGACTGGTTCTCCTGCTAATATAACCATGAGGGCAAGTGTCTGGACCCAGACACTTCTTGGTTCATTGGCAGTTCTTCTGAGAAAGCTGGGTTTACATAGCACTTCTACCATCAGCACCTTCACCGTCATTGACAAGAGGGAAAAGATGGACTCAAAAGCTGCACAGTATTCCATTGTATAAGTGCTTTCAAATGTGCTTAATCCAGTTCTCCATTATTGGATGGTTAAGTTCTCTTTCCCTTTTGTGATGCTAGAAGCAGTGTCACAGTGACCCTTTCTTCTAGTAGTTAACTTCATTCTTCTACTTTTTAAAAACTGTTATTATTGTTGTTGTTGTTTGAGGCAGGGTCTCACTGTGATTCAGGCTGCCCTTGAACTTACCATGTAGCCCAGGCTGGCCTCAAATTCTTGGCAATTCTCCTACCTCAGCCTCCCAAGTGCTGGGATTACAGGCTTCTGCTACCATGTCCAGCTACCATCATTTCTGTAGGTGAAATTCCTATGCATGAAAACTTAGGTGTTATAATAAACATGTTTTTAGTGCTTTTGTTACACATTATCTAGTTGTCCTGAAACCATGTCCCAGTTTTACACTCCTCTCAGGAATATGAGAGTGTTTTTTTTTTTTCACCATAGCTAGGCTTGTATGGAGTATTTGATCCTTTTTCCTTATCTCTGGCAGTTTGGCTGGAAGAATCACGTCTGATGATTTTACTTTCCAATAGTTATTTCTTGTAGAAATGAATGATTTTATACATGCTTTTGCCTATCAAGCTATCTTTTTATGCAATTTGCCTGTATAAATCTTTTGATAGTTTTTCTATTGGAGTAGTCAACTTTTTTATCTATTGTAATTTTTTTATACATTGACGGTATTAGTCATATGCCGTAAGTATTGTTACTGTTTCCAGTTTAATATTGCCCTGTTTATTTAATATTTTCTATTATTCATAAAATTACATTTTTATGTGTTTAGAGTAAGTGACTGAATTCTCTGCATCTCTACATTCCCTTCTGTGAAAATGAGATAATGATGTAATATAAAGTAGGGGTGATATAGATAAATTGCTACATAATAGTTGTTCAGCAAATGATAATTCTGTTATTCTCTGTGTGATACTGAATAGTTTAGAATCATCTAAAATTTTTACTAGGAATACAAAAGATACTTAAAGATGTTTAAAATGAATATGAAATGCATTTAAATAAAACTTAAACTTTTAGGCTAGTATGGACAGGCAGTTTTAAATTTTTCTCTTTACTTCTCATCCTTAAAAATGTTTAATGAATGCTGGGCTGGGGATGTAGCTCAGTGCTAGAAGACTTGGCCTACCAAGTCCTCTAGGCCTGGGATTAATCCCCAGTGCCGCAATACATAAGTATACATAAGTAATAATGATAATAATGATGAAGTCCAGTCTTTCTAAGTAGGAAAACCTGAAATCTGAGTAGAATGTGAGAAGACTACTGTTTTCTCTTAAACTGTTTGTTAAGGAATTTTTAATATATACATTTCTGGTAAGAATTTCTTTCACAGTATCCTTATTTATTTCATATCAATTTGGGTATATCTAAAATAGGACAAAAGCATGCACTATCCACTCCTACTTTTTAGACTTTATGAAGATGGAATTCCTGTCCTTCATCCAGATCAGTAGAATTTAATCCCTCAGCCAACTGTGAGTTGGTTTAGATGATAACAGTTGTAGGCTACGTAGACTGGTTTTATAAAATGCTTTTATTTTGGGGCCACTTAACACCAACAAAATTTTGTATTTTGTAACTTCTGAGTATATATTTAGAGTAGTTACTAGAGTTCTTATGACACTTATAATTTTAAAAATTTTGTAATTTCATTTATAATTTTGCTGCATGTGGTATTACATATAATCCCTTCATGGATGACTAGAGGATGTAGTCTGAATATAGTGTTTTGAGCCACAGTTACTAACGTGTTACACTGAAGCACAGGGAAAAAAGAAATCATCACCAAAGAAGTTAGGAAGCAATGATTTATTCACCAAATATGTTCTGGAGACTTAACTTTCACCTCTCTGGATTATTTTTCAGAATTTAGTTCTCCTTGTCTAGTAAGTAAAATGCCTGCATGCCTAACCTAGGGAGAAGTTGACTTTCTAAATGCCAGTACATGTCCTGGGTGACTAGCATTGCTCTCTCTCTTATTTTCTGCCCTGTGCTGGGGATTGAACCCTGGTACTCTACCACTGAACCACACTCCTAGCCTGTTATCTCCTTTTTTATATCCCTTAAAAAGTAGATCATTTCTATAACAATTGTGCTTCTATACACCTACATTTTGAGATGATAATTGTTCCAAGTTGAATCCTCAAGAATGATGTCTAAGCATACATGTGGTTGGTGGGAACACTGACATTCACATTGACTCATGTGATTTTTCTTATACCTTCAAGTTTGGTTTTGGTCTCTGTTATCACTCTGACACTTCATTTTATTATGGTTTTATTCAAATGTCACCCAAGGCGTCATTAAAAACAATAGTATTTCTCTTACAGAGTTAACCATTGCAAATATTATTTTTAAGATCCTTTGAGGTGGACTGGTTATTACTTGGAATATGACAATTCTAAACCCTTCACAATGACCACATGCTTTGTTGAGTTTTTTAGGCATTTGTTTTAGAACAGTTGAAGAATTAGTTGCTTGTGTGTTAAGTGCCTGCCACCTGATAATTATCTCAAAGGACAATGGTTTTATTTAGTTTAAACTTAATCTAAAGAGAAAATAATCTGTTGTATTAATTTGCATTAAGACTTTATTAAAGTGGATATTTTAGAATTTAGTTAAATTCTCTCCAAACTAGTTAAGAGTGAATTGTATGTCAAAATTGAACATATTGGCAGGTCATTCTGTATAAGTTTGTATGTAGAATTGGAGTAAACTTACATTTTCACTTGAAGCGTTTTTTGAACAGTGTTTCTTCTAGCAGTTATTTTATTGAATGTTAATTTATCAGCCTCTCTTAAAAAAAGTGAGAGGAAGAAAGGCCATAGCATTATCACATTTCTATATATGTGTTCCCTAAACCATATGGTGATTTCTAATTAGAATACAAAAGATTGTGTGATGAGACCAACTTCATAGTAGCTATGATAGTGGGCATTACAGAAAGAGAGTTTTCTGGAATTTGCAACAAGGACACTTTTGAGAAAAACTGTGTGATTTATAATTGTCTGTATACCAGAAGTCTGATAAAGTTATTGATGTGCAGATCAAGTTGGTATTTCGAAGCTGGTAATTTAATTCTGGATATTTGATCCTCTCAGTCAGCAGCTTGACTTGATTTTTCTTTTCTTTTTTTTTTTTTAAAGCAGTTTCAATATTTAATTTCACATGTACCTTCTCAGTAGAGATTTCAAAGGATACTTTGCTGGATGCTTGACTGCCTTGTCTATTTGCTCTTGTTTTGCATGCAAGAGAGAGCCAGAAGCTTTCTTCTCATTGTGTACACATAGTATTAATGGATTTACTCTGCCTGTATCATCTCATTACTGGAAACAGCTAGAAGCGCAGAAGTCTTTCAGTGTATGCAAATAAGGCAGCATCATCTACCTGAGAGTTAATATTCTCTGCTTTTAAGTGTATTCTAAATCTAATGTTTGTATTTAGAACATAACATCCTGTTCTCTTTTTTTATGGGCAAAAAGCTAAGCAGGCTTAGGCAGCTGTTTGATGTTGGCTTCAAGTGTTATTAATTTCATATTCTATTATTCTTTTCACTGTAGCACAAGTGAAGCTGATGTGGAGGCTGTCATGGATAAGTTGTTTGATGAGCTGGCTCAGAAACAAAATGATTGTACGTAAGTTAATTTCTCTTGAAAGAGAATACATTTAGAACACAATGCCCAATCTCCACTGACCAATTAATAAGTTCCATTGCTGTATATGGGTTGATGCCACGCTCAAGTGGCAGTCATTGTATCAGCATTTTGTCTAATTTATGTGTTGAATCATGTGCTATTATTCATCAAGCTATGCATTTCCTATCTGTAAGAGATGAATTTTATAGTAATTATCCAGACAAGATTGAGTCTTTGTTCGTGTTCCCATAGTAACTAGACCAAGGATTCTAAAAGTGCAAGGCAGAGAGCTGTGGCTGAATAAAGCCTGTGGAACCATTGCCGACTGCACATTTGAAGAGCTGTGTGAGAGAGTAAGTACCCAGGCACGTCCGGACTCATTGGCCTTTTCACATGTTAAAATACTTCAAGTTTCCCTCTCTGTCTGTTTCAGATTTTAAAATACTATTCAGAGAGTCAGAACTGATTTAAAAGTCTCATTAAGGGAAATACTTATCTATATTTTCCATGTGCTTTTTATAGATATTGGCACAAAATTTGCTCTTAGAGGAGCTCTAAAGCAAAATTAGAAATGCAGAGAGAACTGTCAACTATTGCTGGAAGCAAAAATAAAATCATTTCCAGTGCTAGTTTATAAAAGTCAAACATAAGGGATTAAAAAAATGAGAGATGAGGTTAGCATGTGGAGAAAGGAAGATGCAGTAACGTTACCGTTATCCAAGAATGCACAACATAAAGAATCCCCATTCTTCACACTCACTGTCCATCCACTGTGCCATAAGAACCTGAGGCCAGGTTCAGAGAAAGAGAATTTCTAAAACTCTTAACATCTATATTGGATCATAGATATTACATTGCACAGATAAATATGTGCATATGTATACATTCATATAAGTAAGAAAGATTAGGTTGCACATTCATTATAGATATGGATTCTATCTTTCAAAGTTCAGGAATCTCAGTACTCGGTGGATATTTAGTATATTTACGATTGTAATTTTTTTGTTTTTGAGACAGGGTCTCTTTATAGAGTCTAGACTGTCCTTGAACTCACTGTGTAGTCCACGCTGGTCTCCAAACTCAAGGTCATCCTCCTGCCTCAGCCTCCTGAGTGCTGGGAGTACAGGCCTGGCTTGATTATAATTATGAAGAGAAATCCAAATTAGATATAACTTTATATATAATTCCTCCATTGACATATATAATCATTCCAGCTCTGATTTGTTTTGACTTTTAAGTAACTAAAGAGAGTTTGCAGTAAAGAGGAAGAGAAAGTTTTTATTTATACTGTTTTGTGAGTATTTTTCTTAAAAGCTAATTACACAATTATTTCTGACAGAGTAAATCTGTAATTTTTAAACTAGAGAGATGAATCCAGTCTGCAGTCCTTCAGCTCTTCAGAATTCATAAGGGTTAGAATCAGTCAGGGTCCTTTGACAGTGTGCTAATGTCAGTCACTCTGAGTGATCTTCTTCTGGCTGCTATGGACCCTCCAGATCTCTAATGGGTCAAGCTTATTAAGATCACAATAATCTCATGTCTCCAGACAAAATTCAGTTAAGGCTGACACTTAGGTTTCACCTGCATTGCCAGAGGACAATTTTGTATATATAAAAGATGAAGCTCTTCCTCCTGCAGAATGGCCCCCAGTAAGGACAGAGGAAGGACAGGGCCCTTGGCTTTGGGGGAGGGGTGATTAAGGGTGGAGCAGATATGGAGCATTTGTCTATATTTTCATATGCTTATTATTTCAAGAGACTTAGTATCAGAGAAAGGCCACTTAGAAACCTAAATCTTCATAGTTTATTTACCACATGGAGATAACAGAAAGGTTGATAGGAACTTCATCTTAAAAATGACAGCAATACTTATAAAAATGAATCACTTTTATGTCCTTTGACAAAAATATGGATTATAATAACTATGAACTAAACTCTTAGAATAAACAATGAGTAACTTTCTATATTTGGCTTAACTTTCTTATGAAAATTCTTAGATGATAAGCTGTTATATCCTTTACTTCATGATTTGGTTAGTCAGTCACATAGGAAATCACTTTTATAAATTTAAGGATTTAAGGATTTAATCCATTTTCTTGATGTCCTCTTTTATTTCATGATATTCTAATTACTTTCTTTTGATGTTTTTGTGATGCTGTTGAATTTTTCTTCTTCAAGTTGGGCAGATCTTTGTTTATCATGGATAGATTTGCCTTTTACCTGCATTATAATTGTAAGATGTTTTCTGTATCAGATGAGCTCCCAGATCAATGAAAAACATTGACCCAAATGATAAGGCTAGTTCCTAGTATTAAGCTGTGAGGGATGTTTAAGGAAGGGCTAAATTTTTAAGTTGTCAGTTTATTTGTGACTATTTTCTTGTTAGCATGATTTTGCATTTCTTTGCAGTCTTAGAATTGTAGCAGTTCAGATATTGGAATACTTGCTTGAAGAGGACCCTTGAAATCATTCAATTTCAGATGTAGCCTAACCCTCTTAATTAGTTATAATGATCTCAAAGCTGGCCTAAATAGTTGCCAAAAAGTGTTCAGTAAAGAGAAAACCAAGGTAAAGGAGCAGGTGTCTGGCACATCCTAGACCATCCCAGCTTTGGGTCACATGGGCTAGTTTTCTGGGAGGCTCTTGATGCCTGAGACCCAGCCAACCCCCATTACTCACATTGTCATGAAAAAAAGCTTTGGGAAGGGGTGAATGGCTTGATAGTCTGTAATGGTTGTTTTTGAACCCTGGCCCTTTCCAAGAAAAGAATAATATATTTATAAACTTTGAAACGTATAAACTTAACTGTTAGTGTCTTAATAAGGTAAAGGGAGGTTTCAACTGGAAATCCCTGACATATGCCATGGATAAGCCAAAAAAGACCCCGGGTACATCTCTTCCCTTGCTTGTCCAAACATTTTCTCAGATCTGCAACCCTGTAGGCTGATATCTAGCTTTTGGAGGCTCTCCAGATCTCTTTCTTTGCAGTTCAGCTCTGTCATCTTCAGAGAAGCAGCCTCGATTAGAGGCCCCTTAGCAGCTATGTAATAATAATTAATAGTGTCACACATCAGGCATTGTTCTAAATACTTTTTATACATTGCCTTAATACTTACATGGATAGGCATTATTATTGTCTTCATTTGATAGGTGGAGAAATTGGAACTCCTTGCTAGTCTGGGTTCCAGATGCTGTGTTCTTTATTATTCTATCATGTCTGAAAATGTTCTGGACAAGTTTTGCCTCAAATCATTAATATAATTTGAATTGTACCATGAAGTCCAGTCAGATACTTTGTGAATTACTACTTCTGAGCTGAACTTTGAGATTTTCATGAAACATGAAGTTGGCTGGAGAAGAGACACCCTCCAGTCCTGAAACCCGCTCTGTGCTGAGAGGACAGAACTGTCCAGCTCACAGCCTTGGCATTCCCACAGGGAACTGGTACAGCACCTGACCTGTGTCCTCCTGAAGGCTATGTATGGCTTGCACCACCAGCTGTCTTGGGGTGCAGGCCTTACCCTTTAATAAAAAAATTACTTTTCTTTCTCTCTGCCATGATAAGGAAAAGGTTGGGAGGTGCTCCTGCAGAGAACTCGGGGAGGGTAGAGACAGTGTGCCTGGGTGGCTCTTGTTCCCCACTGTTCCTTCCATATCAGAACTGTGGCCAAAGGAAATGCATGTAGCCAGTTCATCTCTGTGAACATGACAGGGTCTTCCGTGTTTCCTTTCTTAACCCTAACCTTGACACTGCAATTTAGCTTTATCAGAGGGTAGCGGTTAGCATTATGGTAGTGGTTACTTAAGTTAGTGGTTCATGAGGTGCGGTTCATAGATCCCCTAGAGGTCCCTGAGACACTTTCAAGGCTCCTAGAGGTCTAAACTCTTTATGCAAAAACATTTTCCCCTCCTTACTTGGGTGCCATATACAGTAATGGTGCAAAAAAACTGTGAGTAATCTTTTTCCTTTCCTTCACTCTCCCATCCATCTCTTGTTCCCTTCCCATTTGAAAAAGATCTCCCTACTTCCTATTATCTACCCTTTATCCATTTATTTTCAAATGGGAAGGACATCAAGAGTTGGAGGGAGCAGGGAGGGATGGGAGGGGAAGGAGACAAAAATAATTAAGATGTGTTAATGTATATGTGCCAACTCCCCACGATAAAGATAATCATTATGTACTGCAGATATGTACTAATAAAATACATAATTAGTAAAAATAAAATCCTATAAAGTTGTAGAAAAAAAAAAGATACCATGGTAAAACTGCTGAATCAAGCCTGAATCAAGACAGTGGCACCAAACCCTATTCTATATCAAATTCTTTATTGCCAAGTACCACAGTAAAGACCAACAGCAGGCAAACCAAAACCAAAAACGAAAACAAAACAGTTCCACTTGTGTTCTTGAAGAAGCAATAAAAATTATAAATTTTGTTTAATTTTAACCTTGTGGACATGTCCTTGTAATACTCTTTACAGTGAAATGGGGAGTATGCATAATGAAACACCTCTACTTTGTGCAAGTATGATGGTTGTTGTGAAGGAAGCACTCTATAAATAAAGTGGAGGGCAGTTGTTTGAGTTACAAGGTGAACTAGCCGATTTTTTTTCCTGCAGAATACCACTTTTTATTTAAAGTGACAGAATGACAAACTATGGTTATTTTGGTTTGCCAAACATTTTCTCAGTGTTTGACAGACATTTTCTTGAAAATGAATTAAGTAAGATTGTCATTATAAATAAAACAACTGACAATATTTGTTACCAGTGATAAAATTTGAGCAAACCAGTAAAAATTAAAATTCTGGAAAACTCATTTCTACCATCATGAATTTGACAGTTTCCCAATTCTTAAACATGTTTTTTCTGATGAGATTGATGGTACTATTTAACAAATGCAGTATTTTTGATAATTGTATAATTAAATGTGTCAACAATTGAAAGGTCTAACTTATTGAACCAATGTTTTCCAATAATCCGTGCATACTCATAAAATCATACATGGCAAAAGATCTGTTTGAAATATAAGAAAAACTAATGGAATGTAACAATTCAAAAAGTATCATATCTTTTTTTTTGGTAACAGGGTTTGACTCAGGACCTTGCACTTGCGAGGCAGGCACACCACCGCTGAGCTAAATCCCCAGCCCTTTTTTTTAGCTCTTTTTTTTTTTGGGTAACGGGCATCGAACTCAGGTCCTTGTGCTTGCGCAGCAGGCAGCAAAACCACTGAGCTAAATCCCTGGCCCTTTAGCTCTTATTGAAATGTGACAGTTTCTTAGGCTTCTTATTTTTAATGACCTTGGCAGTTTTGAGGAGTACTAATCAGGTATGTTGTAGAATGTCCTTCA